AGGAGCGCCTGTAGATTTCAGTTCGGCACATAGGCTGAATAAGGTCCACAGCCAGAGCTCTAACGCTTCTCACAGAAGTCCCACGATACAGGAACTTTCCGTAAAGAGTTGAAGGCTTGTTAGTAGATAAAATTTGATGAAGCAGGCAGCACATAAAGTATACTCTCCTGTCACTAACTTTGAGCCATTGGAGTGCATTATAATAAGGAGTAATGTGTTCATCTCTCCTTAAGTTAAAAATAAATCGAATACAGGCGTTCAAGGCTCTGTGTAGTCGCAGGTTGTGCTCAGCAGTAATGTCAGTCATTACACAACAGCAGTAATCGATGTGAGGAAATACAAGGGCGACAATTAAATTCTGCTTAAGCTTCTGTGGCAGTAAATTTTTGCACAATTTTAGCTGATACAACGTCATATAAATTCTTTTGACGACATTTGTCACATGCAGATTCCATGAGAGATTACAGGAGATTGTGACACCCAGATATTTGACAGAAGAGCTAAATTGAACCATGGCATTATTTACAACGATATTCGGCAGTTCATCGTAGTTTATATTGTTGACATACCTAGCCGATCCCATGATTATTGCCTGCGTTTTCTCTGAATTCAGAGCAAGATCATTGCGTAAAGTCCAGGCTATTATTTTAGTGATGTCGGAGTTAACCTTAGCTATTCCATGGGAAAGCTCACGTGGTTCACAATGCAAGTACAGAACAAGGTCATCAGCATAAAAACTGTACTTACAGTGAGATAACAACTTGGCGAAGTCTCCAAGATACAGTACGAATAGCAATGGTCCCAAGACAGATCCCTGAGGTACTCCGGCTCTGATGTCAACAGGTGAGGACCATTCCTGACTAAATGGGTCCTTGACAACTTGTGATCGCCCTTCCAAGTACGATCTAATCCAGAGCAACGCATGATAAGAGAAGTTGTAACTTGTTAGCTTTTGTAGCAGAATCCTGTGCTGCACCCGGTCAAATGCCTTAGAGAAATCAAATAATACTGCAATTGTGACCATTCTTTTATCAGCAGCCCATCTAACGTCATCCAGTATTCTAATAACACTGGTCTCAGCTGAATGACCTTTCTTGTATGCAAACTGAAATTGATCCCATAGATCACTCTCGTCAAGATAATCCCGGACTTGATCACAGACAATTCTCTCTAGGGCCTTCGAGAGAGTAGGCAGAATAGCAATCGGTCGATAATGCTTTGGCATTGTTGGATCCTTGATCTTAGGAACAGGACATATCACAGACCTCTTCCAACATTCCGGAAAGTACCCGTGAGAGAGTGAAAAATTATATATATGCTCGATGATAGGCATAATGTAGGGCAAGATGAATTTTATTATTTTGACTGATATGCCATCAGAGCCCGTAGCATTTGACTTAATATTCGAGAATACTCGATTAATGTCTTGGGGAGTAACGTACTTCCAATGTAGCCTACGATCGTCAAAAGCATCACTCATCATGTTCACATCCGGAAACTCCATCACCTGGCCGGCACCAGCACCACCAGGGCCTCCAGCCACTTGCGCAAAATAACAATTTAATTCATCTGTAGTATTAGAAAGACGCTTGTTCATACCCGCTTTAGACTTAATCAGGCCAAGTCGTCGCAGTTCAGTCCAAGTAGCACCAGAGCTCTTATTGGAGAAGATCGAGAGGTAGTAATCATTCTTCGCTGTACGTACTACACGTTGTACGTCATTTCTAAGTCGCTTAAAGATATCATATGACTCAACCTTATGATCCCTGCGCCATTTCCTACGAGCTTTGTCTCTTCTTCTCATCGCATTCTTGATATCAAGGCTCAACCACGGCGCCGGAAGATTCTTGAATCTGCCGCGACGGAGAGGAGCATGCTTATTCACACATTGCAGTAAACATTGATTTAAAATATCAACTTTGTCATCAAGTGACACTGAAGAGTCCAAGTCACTCCAATCAATCCTTAGTATATCGCGAATAAATGCAGTTTCATCGAAATTCCTGAAATCCCTAAATGTAGTTTCACGCTCTTGCATACGTTCGGTCAGAATCTTGTATTCTATATATATCAGATCATGCGCCGACAGGAAAGGCACATCATGTTGTCCAAAATCATTGACCTTATCCATGTCATCCACGATACACAAATCCAGTAAAGTGTTAGAGTTCATCAAGTTATGTGTGGCCCGATAAGGCACAAGATATTGGCCAGACGACTCGACAAATGTAGTTAAGTGGGCACTATCATGACTGACTGAAAGCAAATCAGCATTGAAGTCCCCGAATATAACCGAATGTCTATAAGTTGCTTGAAGATCAAGAAATTCAGTCTCAAACTCCTGCAGAAAGCCACAATTTGGTGGTCTGTAAACAACTGCTAAAAGAAGATTGGCAGCCCTAGAGAAGGAGATTTCAGCAATTATGTATTCCGGCTTACAGCAATAAACTCCACTTGACATTCTGAGAATCTTTGCCCCAAGAGAGTTATGCAAATAAAAAGCGACACCTCCTCCGCCCCTGCCAACTCTGTCGCATCTATGCAGCGAATAGCCATTCAAGTTAAAGAGACTGTCAGAAAATTCCGGCTTTAGCCAAGTCTCAGATAAGCAGATAACTTGATACTGAGACTTGAGGAAGAAGACATTAAATTCGTCAAAATGAGCTACCAAAGACTGGCAATTGACGTGACACATACGCAAATAGTTAAAGTTAGTTCTTCGATTATCCATAATTAATGTACGATATTTTGTCAGTTATTTTTCGATTTAATATCGGACATTTCTTCGTATCAAAGGCAGAGTGGCACAGGTCTCCAGACGAAAAGCTCTTGTTACGCATACAATTTCCACACTTTAGCATGTCTTTCCTTCCACAGTCTTTTGTTAGATGCTCATTGCTGCAGAGTCCACATGTCGGCTTTGATTTGCAAAATTTAGCTAAGTGGCCAAAAGTCATACAATTGTAGCATTGCAGGACCCTAACGTAATCAGTAAATTTACAAGCGGAGTATCTCAGGTAGATACGACCTCGTTTTAGCAAAATATTCCTGATAAGAGGAGACACTTCAAGGACACAGCTCGTAGTACGATTATCAGGCTTCGCCGGATACGTATAGACAACTTTTATATCAATCTTGTTAATATCCGCTAAATTTTGCGCAATAATTTCTTCAACAATCTCCTCCGCAGTCATTTCTACAGGAACATTATACATAATTAGTCTTGGATTCAACTTCACATTTTCGATAACTTTCAGACCAGCTTTCACAAGTCCTGGATGCATTTTGATCAAGTCAATATCAGGAGAGACCGCATCAATTTTGATTCCATTATTACGAGCAAAGGTAACTTTGTTGATCTTCAGAGCACAATCCGATGGCTTCAGGGCCTTACATAACGCCTCTCTCGTGGCTTTTGAAGAATCATAATTTGAATTTCCTTCCTTGGGTACAATCAAAAAAGAGGTTGAAGTAGAAGGAGGAGCATCCAACATAAGACCTCCAGAGACACAAATTTTATTCTTCCTATTACCGGCAACTGATGCGTAAGACAGAGGCTGAGAATTACACGCAAGCTCCTTATTCGAAAAGGAAGTCATCTGAGAATCAGTGTTATTCCCAATCAAAGTATCCTTGACAGCCTTTTTTATGTCATCTAACGTGAGTAGGTCAACAGATTTGTCCTCCAGAATATTAATTAAAACCGAGGAAACTTCAACAAACGCTTCCTTGCATGCTCTGAATGCAGACTCAATGGCGGATTTTTTGTCAGCATGCTCTTTACTGGATAGCAGAACTTTCGCCACTAAATCGCTGTGCCTGTCAACAGAGGCTCTAAGGGCATTTATCTTAGAAACATTAATACGAGTATTAGTCGCAATACTTGATCCGCTAGCCACTCTCGGAAGCCTGCGCGTCCCAACAGGAGTACCCCAGCTCTCGGCACCCTCCATGGTCGGCAAGGCAGAATTCTTCTCTGACATCCGAGATTCCGAGAAACCGTCAAGCCGTTCCAAGAAAACCACCAATCAGTGAGTCACACGCCGGGATTACGCACCTGCGCGTACGGCCCACAGGCCCGAATCGGGCCGTGAATAACGGCGACGAAAACAACAGCAANCCGNAGATGAAGAATCCGATTAGAATAGAATTAAGGCCAAATAGCGTACCTCAAATAATAAATATAGCTGAGCAGCAGACCCAGAGAGCACAGGCAGCTTTTCAACTAAAAAAGAGTCGCCCCAAAGGGCAAGTACTGGCAGTAAACGATCCAAATGTGAAGAGCGAAAAAATATACGTCAGCACGTGTACTCACCACACAAGAGAGAGGGGGAGAGAGAGAGAGAGAGAGAGAGGGAGGGAGAGAGAGAGAGAGAGATCCTCTTTCAGTTCTCAGTTCGGATAGATACGCTTCATTGGCTAATCGCAATCGGATGCGCGATCTGCATGCGAGGTCGTATCGGAAATCGCTGGAACAAGAATGAATCTCGCGTGACAGAGAGAGGAGAATATCAGTTTTTTAATTTCGCACGCGCGAAATGAAACGCATCATTGAGGAACGAGGCGATAGAAAAGAAGAAAGATTAGTATAATTTATTAGACATTTATTATATACTCGATTTTTTGCGACGTATCAAATTTATCTCACAATTTTTCTAAATTAACCCATTTGCATCATAAGCGCATATATGTGCGCATTTTGCCTGGCCACTATCACCAGAGCGCATATATGCGCGCATTTTACTTAGGCATTTATCACCAAAGCGCATATTATTGTCCAGCGGTGTGGGGCCCCTCACGCACTTTTTTTTTTCTATAATTAGATTCCATTCCGTTTATTTTTGTGAATCTATAATGAAGTAAAAATTCTTTATTTATGCAATATTGATTTTATTTTTCATATTTTGTAACATTTTCATTAAAATTTAAATACAGTAAAAAAAAATTTTGGTGATAAGAACGAATTTTTGACTTTTCTTTGTGATGCAAATGGGTTAAAAAACAAAACTACGAAAAAAAAGAAAAAAAGAGGAAAAAAATTTTTAATCATCCGCCGCTTGACAGGAGTTGTTTAGCATCCGACGTCGTCTTGCGCTCTATCAGAAGACGATACACGTAGAGACGGTATCTTCCAAACGGCATCGCTTTTAATCGTTAAAGCCGCTCTAGTAGCTTTGGCGCGGAAATGAGACGAAGACAGAAGGAGGATAAGGGGAAAAGGAAGAGGGGATAGAGAGAGAGAGAGTTAGAAGTCTCATCTCTCGCGGAACGTTTATAGACAAGAAACGCGCGCGATCGGACGATTACTCTCTCGGCGTGAGACACCCCTGCGGCGGTAATAACTGTCTCTCGCGCTAAATGAAGAGACGGTTAATCTAATCCGCGCAGTACCGACAGGCCCCCCCGGGATTTATTCGTTCGTAACGACGTAAACCGTACAAATTGGCGAGCGGCACACGCGGTCCTAATTGCTTTCCGCGCTTCTCTCAACGAGAGAAAGCAAGCAAGAGAGAAAGAGAGAGAGAGAGAGAGAGATACAAGTGTGATAAATCCTTAAACATTAATTCAATTGTTTAGCATGCACACGTGCACCTGCGCTCTCTCTCGTCCACGGTGAATTCTTAGCGCCGGCATCCCCGCACAGCACACGCGCCATCCCCGCACCGCATCTTCGAAGCTCAAATCCGCGAAACCGAATATCTGGACTCGGTCTAAGCGCGCCACAACGCGATGCAAACATGTTTCGAATCATTTGGCAAACTCGATCTCACACGATGTCGTTTGCTAGAAATTCATGGGATGCGAAAATTATTTAGATGATCGCAGCAACTCGAACAATTTGAAAATCACAAATAGAAAACAATAAAATACAAAATATAACCAGCCATGTGCCAAATCAACATCATTACAAACTACAAGTGATATGACTTCTGTTTTCGAATTGTTTTGAATGTCACTGATGAAGATCAAAAAATTTGATCGAAACGTTTGATAAATATTAATACACAATCAAGAACATACACTTAAATCCTGTATAAGACTCGTAACTGCCTTTTCTTTGAATTATCAATTTTCGACGAGTTACATCAATATCAATATTAACAAATACAAAAATAGAATATAAATACACGTTTTACAAAATTGTAAAAATTTCATTGTTATCTCCAGCGGGTGGAAGGGAAGAGAGTAGCTTCGAACACAGATTGTCGAGAGAAATTTGATACAAACGCATGAATTGTAATTTATTTTGCCGTCATCGCGTGTCTCGCGATAATTACAAATTGCATCAACAAATCGACCTTAAATTTTTCCGGACGGATTTTGTTAATTTCTTTTTTTTTCTCCGTATCCGCCTCCACCTCGCGCGAAGTGGATACGCTTGCCACCACGACTTCGTCGGACATTAACGTCGCGCATTGAGGCAATAAAAACAGCGTAATTATTTAAAAAGACGTGAACTCTCGCGTCACCACGAGAGAGAGCCTCGTGTTTTCACCTTCCACATGACGTGCCAATTATATTTTTAAAAGCTCCCTCGCCGTGGGTTGTTCGCCCCGTTCAGTGCCACTAACACAAAGCCCGACATACCACACACGGAGGGGGGGGGGCGACATAAAGGTAACCGTACTCTTCAAGTAACGTGGCGTGGTATGGCGAACGTTGTTACGCGGCAAAGTACGCGCACTTTTAGCCGCAATTCCGTGTCATTTGGCCACCGTTAATGAATATGACGGGAGCGGAATAGAAGAGGAGTCTTCTCTCTCTCTCTCTCCCTCTCTCTTTCTCTTTCTCGCACGTTCGCAGGAGAAAACGCGATTGAAAAGGACCCATTTCGCGGGAAAAGCAGAGGAACAGAGCCAACTCTCTCCGGGTAATGCGAGCTCGCTGCACGCGGAAGGCCGGCTAAGCCGCGCTTAGCAACTCGTTTGTGGAAAATTTGAAGTACGCTGGGAATCTCGAGAGAGAGAGAGAGAAAGGTAGGGATGGAATTTCTACCGTGTGGCCCAAAGTACATTATGCAGCGGAATCGAAACTCTTTCGTGGAGGTTAATTTCTCTCGGAGCTATATATACTGTATGTATCTTTCCGTCCGCGGGGAAGAGACTCGCGGGGGATGAAAACCCGCTTCGGATACGCGGCGGGACGCGTAAGCTAATTCAATAGGTGCGGAACAAACGCACAGAACGGACGGACGGACGGACGGACGAACGAACGAACGAACCTGTTCGGGTTAATTCATCAAGCGAGAAACTCGCTACACGAACGTGTGTTTTTTTTTTCCCCGTAATTTAAATGTTGAATTTAAATGATTATGGCTCTCTCTCTCTCTCTCTACTCTGTCTAATTTGAGAGCGATCTATTATTTTTGCATTACGCGATAAATTGTACATTCGTTCGCGTTAGATTAAAATAACTCTCGAAGATATTTCGAGATGTGACAAGCGGCTTTTGATTTTTTCTTTCTCGATTTTTGTTCTCTCACACACACAATACACCACGCCGATACCACACGTACGTTTTTTGATCAAAAAATTCAGATTTGCAAAACAAAAAAAGAGCGCGTATAATGACTCCCCATTAAATCTGATAAATCGAGGCAAGAAGTCAAATCCACACTATACTATCGTTCGTTAGAGACCGTTGAAAATGCAACTCGATATGGCTCGATGCAGGTTTTTTTTTTTTCCGTCGACAGATCGAGCCGCGACATAAAACGGCGTACATTCAATTCGAAATAACAATGGAGGGGGATCTGTCGCGGACACTTTGGCGTCGATTAAACGGCTCCAATTTGGTAGGTAAAACCACCGAATTTGATTTCGCGCGCGTTTCTATGCGCCGAAATCCCTCACTGTCAGCCCGGTGCTTGGCGTCCACCGCGGGGAAAATATAACGCGCGGTCCGCCAGTTTTCCAGAGAGAGAGAGAGAGAGAGATAGAGAGAGAGAAAGCGTGTACGCGAAATAATCGTATGAAAATAATGGACGTGTCGTGGCGCGAGCGAAATTGGGACGCGGCCAACGAAGGCGAAAAGTTTTTCGTTAAAAATTTTTTTCACGTAACAGAACGAAAATCGATTCTCCGTTGATTGTGTGTATACGTTGCTGCGATAATAAAATTAAAGTTCACTTTTGTGCGGTTTACAGGTGTAATTGCGCCGCTTTTACGGGTCGCGAATGCAAACTAAAGACCGGCACAACGGGCCGGCGTCCCGGGCCGGGAATTCTCGGAATTTCTTAGAGAGTCCGAGAGACGTAATTCGTTGGTTGTCGCGGTCGGTGAGCACACGAACACGGTGTATAGTTCGACGGCGCAATCTGAGAAAATAAGCGGCGATCTATCGGACGGAAAATTGCACTCCCCCGGATTGAAGCGAAGGAACGAAGGGCGAAGGCGAAAGGAGATCTCGAGGGTAAAAAGACTTACCCCTTTCGTAGAGTCGCGCGCGAAAGTGCTTAACAATCAAAAGATGGATGTATGCTCTTTCTATACATGAAATAAAAAAAAAAACGTGTGTAAGTTTCGCGAGGTGTGAAATTAAAAGGTTACACCTGTAATTGTTCTCCCGGCAGCTATCGTTTCGATATCGAATTTCGAAAACGCTATTTGTATATCCGCTATATGTGCGAACGATTGAACATGAAACAACATTTGATGAAATCTCTTTTATTGAATTAAAAAACGGCGTGTCGGTAAAAATTTTTGGAAAACTGCAATTTACAACAACGTCGGTAAATATTGACGCGATCATATGTCAAACATTTTAATAATTCCGCGGAATTTTCCTCATTGCAAAAAATTGACGGAATTGTAAACAAGTCAGAGCGTAGCGCGCGCGTCCTTGTCAAGCGGCTCAAATGACAGTTGTCGTTCCGAATAAATCTTTCCGCGCGCGCGCGTTCGATGCGCGCGGAGAATTTACTCCCTCCGTCTCTCTTATTTACTCTCGTCTC